TTGGTCAGCTGTCAGTTTTGAAGAAACCTAGAGAAAGCTATATCAGCTAATGAATCATAATCATTGGCCTCAGACCTTATTAATTAGGTTTCCAATTTAAAAATTTTGGGTCCCCCAAAAAAGTTAGCATTATTCAGGACCCATTTTTCAAACATGGAGGTCTGAATAAATTTGGAAAATTTTAGCATTACAGAGGACCCCTTTACTAATCGAGATCCAACATTACTTGGATGTGCAACTATTTTACGCAAAGGCACAGAAATATCACAGTCTTCTAGGCGTTGTTTTATCTTGTTTTCCATGCTATATATATTATATGTATAATGTGTGCTTTCGTGTCATAAATGAACCAAGTGCATGGTTGTTTTCTCATCGTCGGCGCCCAGCGAGGCCAGCGAGGTCTCCTTCAATGCCGCCATGTGCTTCTCCCCGTGGGCTCAAGCGCTTCAGCTGCTGCGAAATCTGGAGGGTCTCAAGCCTACGGATGTGATTTGGACTGAAGATGACTAAAGGACCGGAGAGCACCAGAAGGCTGTGGTAAGTGGCTGTGGGTTAGTGGGTTAGGATGGGTTAGGGCATCCCTGGTCCCATTGGAGCTGAGCTACAAGGAGTTCCTGTTCACAGTTTTTTGCGAGCAATGAATTGTCGTAACTGATAGTGATTTGGTCCCTGAATCCCAGCTGACTACATGGCAAGTGGTTGGAGTCGTGAAGAATGAAGAAGGTCAAAGCACCAGGAGTTCCAAATGTTTTCAGTCAGTCCCCAAGTGAGTGTAGAATGGGGCACCCCGACCACATGGAATTGGTAGTAGGATGTGGTCAGTCCATCTCAATCTATGTCTCCCGATCAGGTTTCCTTCACTCCGCAGCGAGCCGTGACGCACGGCCCGCCGAGGCCATTGGCTCCAACGCCGCGGCCAGCTGCATGGAGCACTGGGTTTGGGCCCTGCAGCTGCTGAAGCGCCTAGGCCTCCGGCAACTGGAAGCCACGACGATCAGCGCCTGGGCGTTAGCCATTGCTGGCAATGGCCGTGCTGGTGGTTTTCTTGGGGGCAACCTCACTACTTAGGATCGCGAGAATCTAAGCGTCACTCCTAGATTCTCATGATGGAATAAAGAGACTCATAGGGTATTCGCTTGGAAAGAGTGAAGAATGGGAATGATCTTTGATGGCAAGACAGGTTATAGTTGGAAAGGCATTTGACCAAGTATATAGTTCCGTGATTCTCGCCACAGACTACGTTGACCACCAGTATTCTTGGGCTAATTTCCAATGGTCCAGTGAAACACCAAACCGAACAGGTCTTTGGGCTCTAGTGTCGGATCATTTCGTGGTGAGCCCAGATTTATATGACCAATCCGTGGCCGAAAGCTGACAGACTAAAAAGTGGAACCATTCTAAGCTCGTTTTGATTGGTACTGCTGCAGATGGCGTCCAATGTAGCTTGTTTTTCCAGAAGTCCATGTCTTTAGTGGGGGCTTGCAAGAATTGCTAAAACAACACAACATACTATATATTTTGAAGATTCTTGTCGCCTCCCGAAACCACACAGCACTGTTACTTTAGGCTTGCCAGCTAATTGCTTTCTTGGCGTGGGAGGGTGTGGCCATATTCCTGACCCATTTTTGTTTGCATTCCCTTTGCTGAGACACCCCGTTTCCAGCGGGTCTTACTCGGATTCTGCACCAATAGGTGCTTCTATTGCTGGCAAATGATTTCCCAAAGAAAGACCTGGAGATCCTGGCAGATGGGGGAATGAGGACGGATGACAAGCCTCAGAGCCTTGAGAGCCTTGAGGCTTCAACAGCACCATCTCTGCGGGCGCCCGCACGACCTCGTGGCATCAAACACTCCAGCTGTGGAATTCCATGGGAGCCCAAGAGGCGAACACCGCCGACCCGGGCGACCACGCGCGTTGGACCAATACCACGAGATGGAAAGGCTTAGATATGTGTACGATTGACCGAAATGGTTTCACCATAGATCAGAGATCCACTTCTTTGAATTACAACTTGAGAGAAAACATGGAGAGAAGGGAAAGAGAGTTAGGGACATCCTGGTGGGGTACAAGGACGTCAATTTAGCTTCCTGTTTCTCGCCGTTTCATCACCAGGACATCATCAGCCGCAATGGGCTCATCACCGCGGTCGCCTCGACCGCGCGGATGGGCGCCACGTCCCGATGGCCTGAAGCCTTACACCTGTGTAGCGCAAGCAGTGCGAAGAGGTGGGGGTGGGCGGGGTGAAACGGCCACGTGATGTCCGGTACCAAGAGGAACAGCTTGGGGCATGTGGACGGGGCCCGTTCGATGTACAGTAAGTAGATGACCAATATCAGATTTTTCAGGTCGAGTCAGGTAGAGGATAGGTAATTATTTAATACTGCTAGGTGAGGCTTATCTAACTAAGTGGAACTAAGTCTAGTTAAATGATGTTAAATGGCGAAAGCTGGCACCAGGCATGTTCTACGTAAAGGATTGATTGTACTGCCCTGTTTAGAGTTCAGTTTGCTTGAAGGTTGCAGCCCAGTCTCATCACTTACAATGCCACCATCAATGTCTGTGAGAAGGCGGAGGTTTGGACGCTTTGATGGGAGTTGGAGAAATTTGTTTTGTTTGGGTGTGGTTTCACGTGGGCTGGTCCTTCAACCAGCACCCCATCACTTCGTATTCCCTCTACCTTCCTTTCGAAAATAGGCTGGGGAGGTGCTCCCACCGCGAAGCAGACCGAAGCACCATCCCCAAGAACAAAGGCTGCATGTCGCACTGAATGACCTGTGTTGCAACAAAACCGTCAGTCTCTCTCAGAAGGTGCAGCCTTCCAGGTCGGATTTGGGCATCCCCAGGCCCGGCGGTCCGCAGGGTGCGCGGGTCCGCGGACGACTGTCCGCGAACGACTCCCAGGCCGTGGGTCCTGGAGCTGCTCCGCATGCTGGGTCCAAGCCTTGACCTCTTTAGCAACAATGGAGCGCTCAAGGTGGGGCAAGACCGATGGAAGCTTCGGAGGAAGACCGGCTGGGCGAGCTGGGGGAAGGGACAGATCTCCGGCTGGAACCAGCCACGGCAAGCCAGCTATACCCTACCTATGATGGATCCACATGATCCACATACCTTCCGAATCCTTCCGAGAAGGTGATTAGGCTTGGAGGGTCCAATTACCTTCTGGAAGGTGGCAGTGGATCCATAGGGACAGTGTTTGATTGAAAGGGTCCGTATTCCTGCCTCACCCACGGGGGTGGGTGGTTTCGATGACGGCAGATGCAGATGCTGTAGTATAATAGCTCACCAGTCTCGCGAAAGACGCAATTGATGGACACTTGGACATGGGTGTGCTAGAATGTTTATACCTTCCCTATCCCTCGGGAAAAAGCAACAATTAGGCATGGTCAGACTAATGAACCCAATTTGAGGGTCCCACTGTCCACTGTTGTTTTAGAAATGCACACTCACATCTGGTTCGCCAGATACCTGGCCATCCCCAATCCCACAGGCATGCGCTTGGGATTTGTCCCTCGTTTTGCTGCATCACATGGGCCACCTGAGCTTGGAGCCGGACCAGGCCGGAGTTGGTCGGTGCCGAACAAGGAAAGTGGTGCAAGAAATATGCAACTTCAAAAATATTGTAGCATACTAGCAGCCAGTATTATAATTCATGATTGCTATTCGTGGACCACAACAATCTGGAGCCAACCAGATCTTGAGCTCAACGTCAAGAACTGAGTTGGATGCATCCAAAACAAAGTTTCTCTTGGATGCCGTGTTGTCCAAAACACACCAATACGACAGATGTGCATGCTGAGAGGTGTTCTTGAAATCCTTGTTGTTCTTGAGTCAGAGCTTGCGATAGACGCAGATTCTTAGACCCTTCCAGGTGAGTCTCTCTGCTTCCATGGGCTTCCGCTGGCGCCATTCTGTGGCCCTGCTGCGTGCAGAGTGCCTGCCGGTGCCGAACGAGGCCAGCATCTCTTCGGAGCTGATGCTTGGGGGTTCAGGACAATGAGACAGAATTGCATTCACCTTTTGACATGAAGCCCAAGCGCCTCACCATGAGGTGCACCAATGTTGGGGGGGATTTCACTGGTAGCTTTGCTGTGGGAGGTGAGCATGGGTGCAGCCCTCAACGCATGTGAGAAGAGCACCCAGTGGCTGAAGGCTATAGCGCCCTGACGTGAGACTGTTAGAGGAAAGGAGGCTTGCACGAAAACCTGCTTACCGCACTCCATCTTCAGTATTCAGTATTCAGTTTTGTTCGGTGTGCTACAAGCTTTCAACCTTGTCAGCCCATGTTTTTGTTTGATACCTTTTTTGTTGTGAGGCATTTACATGCAGGGCCGGTGTACATGACTTTGGCCGTTGCTTTTCCTTTTTTAGCGAATTCTTTACCTAAGCCTGGTGCACCTATATGCCCATCGGTGGTGACCCATCAGCTGAGGTGTTGCTAGGGCTGATGCCAACATCACAGCTAAAGGCCAACTCCACCATCTACAACACCACCATCAGTGCCTGTGAAAAAGGCTTCACTTGGGCACAGGCATGGCTTCGCCGCGTTCCCTGCCATTCTGAAGCCTTTCTCGTGGCAGCGTTGGGAGTTTGATCTCCAGGGGGGGTTGCATAAGTACAGCATCTCCAGGGGGTTTGATCTCCAGGGGGGTTCTTCTTTGCCTCTCCAATGATTCTGTGATGAGGCCTTCGCTACCCTTCAACAGATGATGAGAAGCAGAGTCCAACGCACCGAGACCACCATCAATGCCTTAGTGAGCTGCTTGGAGAGCCAATACGTATCAATAGGCCTGTCCTCTCACATCCACTGCGGGCCTGTTTCCATGCATCAGATGCATCGGGTCCGGTCTAGCAGTTGAGCTACGACTTGCAGGCATGGGGATATACCTGATCTCTCCCTCCGACAGCCCCCGGCAGAGCTTCACATGCCTTGTGCCGATCAGTGACCAACTGCAGCAGGCATGGCGACGACCGGATACAACTCACCTCGTGTGGCGCCCTTTGCAGACCTGACCTCCCGACCTTCCACTGGCCCAGGATCCACCATGGCACAACAAAAACTACAACCCCATCCCAGAAAGTTCACCTGACTTGGTACAGACCACGGGTCCGCTGCGTCCCAGGTGCCTGTGAGAAGTGTTCCACCTGGCTTTGGGCCCTCCACCTCCTCGCCCCATCGACCGTGCGGGGTCCCCCGCGCGCGGGGTCGCCGATGGGACTCAACGCCGCCATGGCTGCCGGGCACAAAGGACCCGCTGCGACGCGCGCGTTCGAATGGAGACTTGAAAATACGGATTTAAAGGTTGAATATGGATGAATATGGCATGTCCATCCCGCTCGTTCGAGTGAACGCGTTCAGCGTTTTTTCGTATACGGTAGACTTCAGCTTCGCTGATGGACAGTTTCTCCTTGCTTGCTGTATGTATTTGGATCATGTTGGATCGTGTTTTGTGGTTGTCGTCGCGTTCGGTTTGCATAGTTGAAGCCCAATGGTCGTGTCAGTGGGTGTTTTGGAGACACTGCCCCTCCAGTTCAGTTCTGTGCAACCACTGGGGTGCCCAGTTGTTGGTGCTGTTTGAGGTGACCATTTGGGCCAACCAGCGTTGTTGGGGCTGTGTCCAACAGTTCGGAGCTTCGGAGGGGGGGTCGACGTGGAAGCAGCCGCTCGTTCAGAACAGGACATTGCTCTTGGCGGAGAATCCTGCGACTTGGGCATACTTTGGGCCTCGGTGGTTCGCTTCGGGTCGACCATCGGGGACTAGGGCCTAGGGGGACCGAGGAGGTCCGCGGTGGAGCCACTGTCAGATGGGAACAGCGGTAGGTCCACGGTTGATCCGCACAAAGACCTGAGTATATACCCTGGGAGTCCAATGTTTAAAACGGTCTTTAGGTGATCCGAAAAGGAACTTCTTTTCCTTGGGTGGTGCCGAAAATAGTCGAATTGGACTTCTATATCGGGTTATTAATATACATGTGTATATATATATATATATTATAGTATGTATAATATACATGTCATCATTACATGTCTATACCCTTTGGGGGAAGAGGACACATGTACAAATTCTGAAGGCTTCGGGTGCTGTCCTCGATGACTCGAGGAGACTCCTGGCAGACACCGGTGAACTCCGCACCGCGGTCTCCTTCGACTCAGCCCTGGCTGCCTTGAGCTGGGAGTGGACCCAAGGGCTCCACCTGCTGCGGCAAATGCAGTGCCAGGGCGCCAAATGGTCATGGGCTAAGGATATAGCTATAGGATGCTATAGATGTTTCCTTCCCTTCAAGTCCAGTGCCTCAAAAGACAGTGGGCATGGAGTGCAGACTTCAGAACTTCTAACAACCGGTGGGTACGTGGTTGTCTTGCGGGCCGGGGAGGGTGTTTTGGTGGAGAAAAAGTCTCCAGGGAGTTGAGTGCAAGAAGCACTCCGAAGAGGCATTTCAAGAGCAAGGGACAAAAAGATACGGAATGTGAATCCGCATTTTGTAGTGGTAGACTTTTGCAAGATAGATGCACCATGTACGGTCATAATGTAGTATGTTTTTGTTTTCTTCTCTGACTCGAGCACGGGTCATGCACTTGCATGTTGTATTTCACAGTTTCTTCAGATCCCTCATTGTGTACAGATTTGTTTAAAAAATACCTACATACAACTACAACATGGTTGCCCAGACCCCTCCACCTCAATATCAAGGGGGATCTTTGATATGTTACTGCGAGGCTAGGGTTTCCTTCTGAGTTGACCAAGGGGGGGGTCGGAAAATTCGTAGAAGCATCCGAATTATAAGAATCTCGAGTATAGAGGGCATCGCCAGATCTTGCGCATCATTGGTCTAAGTAATGTTATGCTCTTGGCCATTCATGTATGCAACACATCTTGTGTTTTGGTATTATGATGGTGTATGTGTATGATGGTATTATGTTTGGCCACCAACTCACAAATCAATCCAGGGCAGCTGGACAATTCCTCCTCCTCTCCTGACATTGTAGACTACGGTCAGATCTGGCTTTGTTCAGATTTGGAGAAGGCTAAGGGGGGGAAGTCCACGGCGTTTGTTGTGATTTTGTACATCAACATCCCATGACAAGGCCTTTGACCTGAGCTGCTTCTCTCCGAGGTGCGAAGTGGGATGCACCGGATTCAGCTACGAGCTCCTGATGAACGCCTTGGACTCCGCGCCCAGACACGTGCTCTTGGCCCACGAGCTCCTCACCGAGGACGAAGGGGTCCGAAAAGGGGTGCGGATGGGGCAGACGCGGACCGTTTTGGTTGGCGCGAAGGAGTTTTCACCCTGGGCCATGAGGGTGGAATGTCATTTCGTGTTGAACCTGGGGCTCAGGTGTCGTTCACCGTTGGTTTGAAGCGTTGCTGCATTTCCCCATTTTGGGGGGGGGAATATAATTCTTGGTATGGGAGTTTGGAGCTCGACTGCCCGACCCGCACCTGCAGCGCCACGGTTCTGTGGAGGTGTTGTCCATCCCTCGTGTCGCAAACGCGCCTTCCGGTGTGGTGGGCATGGCCGAAAACGCGCTCCCCACTGCATCCGCAGTCGAAGGTGCTACCACATGCTACAACGACTTCTTTTGGGGGGGAAGGTGCTTGGTTGCGGGTGCCTGGAGGTGGGTCTAACTCCCTGTCGGTGCCAAAGGCAGGCACCTGTCGGGCAGGTCTCAGAGATCACGGACACGGAACTACTGGACCACCTGCGAAGACGCGCATGATGCGAAAATGGGCGAAGGGCGGTGCTGCGAAGGCTTCATCCGCGCACCCTTTTTTTTTCAGTGCTTGATGCGAAAAAGGTGGTGAGAGCAGGAAAAGAATGGAAGCGAGCTCGTTCAGACAATTGAACAGAAAATTTATGAGGGGATTGCAGGTTTACCTTCAGAATTTGTGTTTTAGGCCAAATCCGCGGAATCATCCTGTTCGCAACCAGCTGCCCTGTTTTAATTAATATTGTTCCCAGTTCCAGTTTGGATGCTTTAGGCAACAGGGAATTATGAGTGGAAACTGGATCTGCTCGTAGGACAAAGAGATGACACAAACCCATAGACCACTGTGGCACCAGTAGGGTTTAATAAACCGTAGTATACATTTTGGGTGGTTTGTGTCACCTACCCCGAAGCCCCACAACATCGCATCTAGAATCCCTTGATGACCGACGCTGAGTGGTCCGAGGTTGCTTCAGAGCTGAGAAGATGAAGGCAAAAGGATGGTCCAGAGGGTTCAGGGGGTCATGACTATAAGGAGTCTGGATGTTCTTTGGCCTACTCCGGGGCTATAAATGGGAGTGTTTGGCCCGGTATTTCTCAGGAGGTACTTGAATCTCATGGATGAGCTGGTGCAACTTTTGAAATGCATGTGGGTGTGGCTCAAGAGATCATGAAGGATAGTTTGCATCAGATTAGCTGATTGCTAGGTCGATTCACCCAGACAATGTTGCCGCAACTACATTGATTTCCGGAGCCACCCCCGTTCGGTCTGAAGAGTGAGTACCAAAGGGACTGCGAATGCACGCAGAGGACGGTGAAAAAAGTGTTAGGCCAACTGCCGCGCGTGAGGGGCGAGTGACGCAGTGAGACTTGACCCTCTCTCCAACTGCCCACCGAAGTGGAGTTCACCCCCAGTTTGTAGAGGAAAATGGTCTTCTCAGGGGCCATGCCATCCACTTCCATGATTGTTCAGGAGTGTAGATGCGAGGGTTCGTCTCAAGTGAAAGCCTTGAGACTGTATACCTTTGGAAAACGTCTGAGGCAAATGCGATGCTTTCTACAAAGCGTAGACGACTAGTGGTTTTAGCATGTTTTAGCATGTTTTTTAGCCAACGGATGACCATTAGCTCAATTGACCGGCTTCTTTGCAGTGCCTCTTGAGCCACTTCTTCTGCACTCCGAGAGAGTCACTTTGACAGGCCCGGTTCACTTCGTTGGGCCAAAGGTGGCCGGTTTGCCACGGCTTGGCTCGCAGGTCACGGTGCACTACACTGGACGCCTGGAAGCCAGGGCCCTCAGATGCTGCAAGTGAATGGGTCGTTTCTTTGTTGGGGAGCTATAGGGGAGGCCTTTGAAGATCAAGCTTCTACAAAGCAGGATTAGTTTTTCTGGGCCAAAGTTGTGATAGTCATACAGACTATGTCACTATGCCTTTTTGATATTTTCTGCCATGGTGTTTGGATATATGGTATGGTTCCTCCTTTTTAATCCCATGCCATCGCACAAAAGTTGCCGCGGAGCTCACTCCAATGGGCTTGTTGCTGTTGCTGTGGCATCCACTGGTGCAGCATGGTGGGCGGTTGTGTGGCGCACCAGTGTGCAAGATCCAACCGGGCCAAAGCCAGTAGCAGTTCACCCCTTGTGGACATGTAAGGAACAAAGTGCTGGCCAAGTGTTGCCCCAGGAAACCGGAAAGCCACGTCCAATGAACTGGCACTTTTGAAGGGGAAGTCTTTTTGGATGCTGAACATCTCGTCTCATTTGAAGTCTTTTTGTTGCCGTTCTTGTTTGCACTGCCTTGATTCATCCAACCCTGGGTGCCCAGGTCAGTTTCCATCATGGAAGTGGGAACTAACATGGAAGTGGATGGCATGGACCCTTGGAAGACCATTGTCCTTTGCAAACAGGGTGATTTCCAGTTCCATGAGTGTTCCTCCGAGAATATGCAGTTCTATGAAGGCTTTCCACATCCATGTTATATGAGGTTTCTATTTGTGTTTTGCTTGTTCACGCTGGAAGTGGAACACCCTCTTCCACAAATCCTCCGCACATGCCAGGCCACAGGAGAAGAGTTTGACTCCTCCAAGGGCAAGGAGTGCGAGCCATGCACTCCTGTTCAAAAAACCAATGGAGCCGTGCACTTCTGGGCATGACGTTTGCAAGCAAAAGGCATCACCTCACTGTCTCACACATGTCACTTTGTGATCAGAGACGATGGTGGGCACGTTTTACACTCTGACCCACTGGCACGGTTCCGTGGATGGGAAAAGTGGCGAAAGTAGATCGCCACTGGCCCACCAACAATGTAGTTATTTTTAATTATTATTGGAATCCGTTTTTATAATGTTGTGGGGGCCAACATGCATGTTTTGAATTCATCGCCATCCATGAAGTACCAGGAGCCGGCGGTCTTCCACATCGGCAAGGGTGAAGTCATCAAAGGCGTTTGCCCGAGGAAAAGACGGCCGAGAACAGGAACAACATTTGGCTGAAGGTTTAAGATTGATTTGTGTGAAAAAGCTTCCTGTACTCGGCAATGATTGAAGCATATTGAAGCCACTGACTAATTATATTATGGTCTTCAGGTCTTCAAGTGAGTTGAAACCACCAACCCGAGGTGTTTGTTGTGCTGCATAGCTATGGTGTCATGTGGCATCCAAACTTTCTGCACGCTACATACACAGCACCGTGCTGGCCCTACCTGAAATGTACAGTATCTATAGAAGACCTACTAATATAACTACTACTACTATCTCACTTAGCCTGTGATTAAGCCTGTGATATTGGCACCTGCCGAGCCATTTGGCACCTGGTGCCCGTTGAGCCGTAGTGAGGTTGGGAGGCAGCAATCCCTACGATGCGCCAAGGGGAGGTGGTCCACCCAGCCGGACAGAGACGGAGAAGCCGTGGGTTTGGTTGGTAGAACCCGTGGGTTTGACGCACCTACTATGGCAGTGATGCTCTTTATATCTCTTCAGTCCATCAGGTGAGGCCTTGAAATGAAAGCTTGCCAGCTGACATCACGTCCTCAAAAATGCCACCCCTGTTCTACAAGACCTGGGTCCTTTAGGAAGCTCGGCTGACCATCAGCCCTGAGTTCGCCTATGGCTCTGAAGGGGCCCGGACGGCTCAGCTGCGAGGGTTCGGGCTGCCGGGCTGGCGGATTGAACACCCGTAGACCGAATTGAATTGAAAAACCTCTTCAGGCCGGCATGGTCCATGGTCCTCTGTTGAGTCTACATAACAGTCAGCAAAAGCTGAAAGTACCGCATTGACCCAAGGCCATAAGCATATAGACAAGTTGATTTGGCAGCGGAGGGGACGGAGGGGCGACTATGAGATCTTTAGAATGGCTTGGGGAGGCAGAAAAAGATGGCCCAATGTATTCCAATGTCAACTCTTCCAAGCAAGCTGGATCAAAAAGTATATAAATAGTGATAATTAGTATCCTTGGATTATTCTGGGTGATGGTGGTGGTGATGAGGATCCTGATTCATGATCGATGCAGACTGTCTGCAACTCAAGCGGGCCTAGCCCAGAAGACTTCCACAAATCGGACTCCAAGCTGGGGGAAGTGTGGACTGACCTCAATATGCGCGAACACAAGCTTGTACCAAAATATGCAGGACACAGTCAACTGCCCACTGTCGTGTGCTCAGCGAATTCTCTTGAACCCAGCCTGCCAGTTGGGTTCATCCGGTGCGCTGACCCGAAAAACCAGAGGCTTGGAACCCGGCCGCCTGCAGCCCCCGTACGGCCCGCGCGGCCCACGGCCCCCGCGCTCCCCGCCTCCGCCCAGTTGCCGCCCAAGATCCCGGCGGATGCCACGCTGGTGTTCGATGTGGACTTGGTGAGCTTCGACTGCCAGGAGCCGTGTTTTGCGTGGAACACGCGCGGGTTGGTTGGGCGAACAGGATGGAGAAGGCTGTGCAGCGAACCGAGGAAGAAGAAAAAAGAAAACGTGAACACAGTGAACATATTCCCCAAGTTCATCCCGTGGAGGATTGGAGGAACAACCCACCAACAACCAGGGAACTCTGGGGTGCTCTTGTGCCTAAGAGGGACGCCAGGGACACCTGTAGACTGAGAACAGGCCGGCTTAGCTTAGGATAGCTTCGGAATTTTGTCCTTGGATGGTCGTTGAGGCATTCGCCAAGAAAGGAGGATTGTTATGTGAAGTCCGTTACCCTCATTGGCTCATTGGCCAACAAGAGAAGAGATGCACAGAGGTTTGAGCCGAAAAAATTGAGTCAAAGGAGTGAGTCTTGGACCCGGAAACTTAATGTCTCAAATTCTCTCGGGTCTTGGATGCTCATGACATCCCATGCCGTGTGCCATGCGCCAACTTCCTTGGTTGCTTTGCACTTGGGCCTTCTTGGGAGGATCTTCCAAGTTGCTGGCTCGTGCAGAACAGATCAATTCTTGCAATAATGTGTTTTTTCTTTTCGCTGTGCTACATTATCCACCTCCACAAACTACCATGCATGTATATAAATCAAAGGGACGACCAACATTACCAACAATGCAATTGTTATATAAAGACAACGATAGAGAGAGCGAGCGCGAGAGGGAGGGAGGGAGGGAGGGAGGGAGGGAGGGAGGGAGAGAGCAAGCGCGAGAGGGAGAGCGCCTTACTGAGTTTCCTCGATCAGTGTTTGTCATCCCAAGGTTCTTCGAAGCGGAGCCCCTGTGCCACGAGAACTTCCGATCTCTGGAAAAATGCCTCTCCCATGATCATGGCCGTTTCTTGACATCCTGATCGGCAACGAACTTGGCACCGGCCACTGCAAACCAAGCAAAAACAATGTAACAAGAGCCATGTTTCTTTAGAACTTTGGACAGCATTTCGAGTTTCTGAATCATTTGGGTATGTTTGCGACGTCCCTGTAGCCTCAACGCAGTCAGACGGCAGTCAGCATACGCAGGGCATCCAGTTACCACTATTGCTGGTAACCAGTGGTTCCAAAGACTAAAACCATAGGCCTAGAATCCCTGGTTCCTTTTTGGTGGTAACTGGGATCCACTGGGATAGCTTCAAAGCAAACAACCCTCATTTGGATCCCAGGGCATTGAAGCTGTTGCGTGCAAGAGCCACACATATACACACGAACCAAAAACCAGCTACAAAGATTGAGTTGCCCGTTCATTGAGGGACCATATTTGAGTCCGCTAGCAGCACCACTGGACCGTTTCCCGCCAAGTCATGGGGGTGCCAGAGGCCCCCACCCGCTTGGAGGATGGAGAATCCAGGGCCTGGAACGCAGCTTCAGGGCCTGAAGGCCCAAACAAGCTGGTCCATTACCAGCACCTTCTAACAGGTCTCCTTTGGAGGTTTCAATTGGTGACCTGTTGGAGGTGCTGGTATGTATGAACGAATCGAGTTCAGAGTTTCCAGCAGGTCGTGCTAGGCTGCTTCTTCCTCCAACCACGCTTCTTCATCGCCGCTTCGAGGCTTAGAGACCAGCTGCCGGGAGTCCAATGATCGCCTGCGACGGTGTGTGTGGCAGAACTGGACGCACTTGGACTCGGCTGGTGCCTACAAGAAGCCTTTGAATGCCTTTAATCGATTGAAGCCTTGCCGCTATGGGCTCATGCTCTACAACCCCCTGGACTGGTATATTGGCAGATCGTTGGAAGTGAACTTGACCAATTTGAGACCGTTGTTTTTGCTGAAGATATGTAGTTACAGTATGTTACAGTCATTTGCAGTTTGTGTCATTGATTTTCGGAAACAGTTTGTGATTTCTTTGTCACATGATCACACTGGTTGCAGGTATTTGTTTTTTTTGGTGCATCGTCGTTGTTGCTTTTTGCAGCCGTGACCTTTGCATCACTTCGCCACCATGTCCAAAGATCCTTAATTAGTCAGATCCAATTGGGCGGGTATAGACTAGATGAAAGATGTGGCATGATGTGGCCAAAAAGATCCAAAAGGTCTACAGTGGTTTCAAAGTAGATGGCACAAACCCCAAGATGTTCTTTAGATGGGGTCCATACAAACCACCTTTACTTTGGGGGTCTGTGCCATCTACTCTGAACCCACTGTATTTCCCTGATTGGTTCGCATTGGTTCGGA